ATCTTTAAATTTTTTCAATGAAATAATTGTCCACACATCAGTTGGAAACACTTTATTGCATTGGCATTTATCACTTATTTTCAAACGTCTGAGAGACTTGGGAATAAAATTAATAAAATGTGAATTGATTCAAGACTTATATCCGGATTTGGACTAGTCCGCAGGGACTAGTACTTTACAAAGTCTGCTAGTCCAAGGCAATTTTTACTCAGTCTCGGACTTACGGACATTTTTTTTATTTCGAACCCTGTTTTTTGTGCCCAGAAAAATTCACTTTACCCTTATTAGCTCTTCTGAGCCGAAGGCTCAAAGAGATAATGCTATGGCTATTTGTGCGGTGTGCGTTAACTTTTTAGAATATGGGCGAAAACTCAAGAACCCTTTGGCCAATCAATACCAAATTTGCCACAGGGTATCCTTGGCCCAAGGGCTACCATTTATACTAACATAAGGGTTGGGACCCTTAAACAAGGGGAGATAATCAGGAAAACATAACCAAAAGTACTAGTTGCTAAAAAATCTTCTTCTCCAGAACCGCCGGGCAGATTTTCACCAAACTTACATACAAGGATCAGGATATGTTGAAAATTAAAAATTGTTCAAGGCATGACCCTGGGGCAAAAGGCATTGTCTCCAGGTCACTTTAAAGTCGACCAAAATTTACTATAAATAAAAAATGTTTATATTTTGCTTACTATAAGGACTAGGATCATCAAATCTTGTAAGTTGATGCATCTTAGGACTTCACATCATGTTAACTCAAAAGTAGGTCACGGTTGGGGTGCCTTTTTCTTCCCTCTGTGGAACTTATATGTCTGAATCAGAACTGGAACTTCCGTTCGACTTATCACTAGTTGGCTGTGAAGACTCCTCACTAGATGGCTGAGAAGACTCCTTTAGATTCTCTAGTTCTTCCATTGTACTCATGTCTGCATCTCCTCGTGATCCCACACAGTCGCACTTGAAAAGGAGATTTAGGGTGCGTTGATTTACACAAATTGAACACATATGGACCCAAATGGACAAATGGAAATCAAATGGACCCAAATGGAATATAATATATATATATATAATATCGTATTTCAAGTTTTTACTTATTTAAAATATAGAAAATGATGAAATTAAAACAAATAGAGAAAATTATAATATCATTATTTTCTTCAATTGTATTTTTAAAAATGTGATTTGATTCGCCCAGCAGGCATTTCAACGTTGATTCAACGTTGCACTTCAACGTTGAATCAACGTTGAATTTTGGTTGTCTATGAAAGTTGAGGCAACGTTGAGACATTTCGTTGTTTCAACGTCAATTTTCAACGTTGAAAATTGGTTGAATTTTAGGTTGATTTATGGTTGCAAATGAAAGTTGAGGCAACGTTGAAGCTTCAACGTTGTTTCAACGTCAAATATCAACATTGAACAAAAGTGAATATTGGTTGAAATTAGGTTGAGATTTGGTGGAAATTTTTTTGATGTACATTGAAACATTGATATTTGGTTGAAATTACGTTGAATTCATATTACATTTTGTTTAATAAACAAATACATTTCAAATTCTAATAAAAAAAATTGAATCAAGTTGCGTAATATTTATATTAGGTTGTAATCAAGTATTATGATTGTGAGAGAATTAATTTTACATGTATTTTTAAGACAATCACTGAAAAAATCACTGCTTGACAAAATTTTTATTCCTTGGGAAAAGTGGGTCACAATAATCATATCCAGGTCTTTCAAAGTACGCGTATGCCTTGAACTTCTAAGATCCACAAAGTGGCGGATCCATTGATTTTAATCACGCATAGAGTTAAGTCCCACGAATGAAAGAAATGAACAGGAGAATCCACCCTCTAAAGCAAAAGCCTATTGATAAAAGAAATAAAGATGTTAAAGCCATTTGTTCGATAAAATGTACGTTAATATGTAACACGTTATATCAAAGGATAACTAGTGCTAATTGTAACGGGGACCGTTACAGATGTTCCCCAAACGACAAAGCGACAAACTCATAAATGCTGTCAATATCACTGTTGGGATCCAAGTTCTGATAGCTCCCCGTCTTTCCGCAAGTCGTGGAACATCTCAGGATTTGTTTCTGAAGTAAGTCCGTGATCCATATTGAAGAGAGGGCGAAGAAAGCTGCCCCTTAGTTTTCCACTGTAAGTGTTCACGATGCAACAAAATTTTGCAGGAAAAGTTTTATCGGTCTACCTACAAACCTCTCTCACCAAGGGCGGAAACTGAAAAATACACAGTAATCATACTATCACTTATACATATATGAAATTATGAAATAATGACATTTAAGGCATGCTATATTCAAACAAAATAACAAATGCACATTTCAAATCATGAAAACGGGCATGAGCATCGCTAACATTGTGAAAGAATTATGTATTATATTCAATTACAAGACAAAGGACAAATATACAAAGTGTACTTACTCTTTAGGGGCCGAACATCAAAATACAGATCAAAATTTTGTAGGAAAAAACAAGCATGGTCTATGTCGGAACAAACGGTAGACAAATAATCAAGCCGAATCTGGAATCATTTCCGGCGCCACTACAGGGGTATATAGACAGGTCACAAGTGAACTCATGAGGTGAATGGGTCAGCGCGATTTTCGCGCCACAGGTAACATTTCGCCATTTTTGGCGAGAAAACAAGAAGACGAAATAGAATTGATTGTGTTACTTCTCAATCCTCGGCACCTTTACGCAATCCGTGCTTTTGGAACAGTCAGTTATGTTCCTCACTCCTCTCCAGCATAACGTACAGACTGTACAACCTCGTATGTTGAGGGGCGGTTGTAAAATAATTAGGAATGAACAATTTGGTCCTCCTTCCCTCTTGGCCGCCCGCGTGGCGCAGTGGTTAGAACGTCTGCTCTAGAGTCGGGAAGTAAGGAGTCAGTCAAGGAGTGTCTCGATACGCAATTTTATATATCATAACAATGTGACCTTAATTTTTGCTGTAAAGTATATACTAATCAAGTATCCAGATCCTAATGCTACTATTAAGAAGGAAAGCCACACCCAAATTTTATTTCATATATCTTTAAAATATACCAATGAAGTTATGCTTTCAACACTTAAAAGACGATTCATTTTTAAGGTCTTAATTATTTATATGATTTTTTTCCCAAAGTAAATGTAAGATTATTTTTTTTTATAAAATACTTAATAAATTAATAAGAACTTATACTGATTTTTCCATGCTGAAAACCTAGTGTAAAAGGGATGTCTTAAAAATCTGTGCAATAATGATAAGGCTGTCCGAAGGCTTAAAATGCCTTACAAATGTACATTTTTAGCTATATTTTAATTTTGATATATTATCCTTGTTTGAAATTACATTCTACTTGAGACAGATATTTATGATATTCCTAATACTTGCACAAAAATGCTTCGGTACAAGTGCAAAACAAATATATTTTGCAAAGTTAGAACACATGAGCATTATGCAACAATTTTCTAATTATTGCATTTGATTCAGGCTTTTTGATATCATTGACAGCTGCTTCTTCAACAAAAATGGAATTCGTAAGTTTACTTACCTCGTCATTGGTCATTTGAAAAATTATTTTGTTAAAACAGATTCTCATTGCACACATAAGTACTCTGAAGTTGACATCAAGAAGATGCTTGAGTTTCTGATTGACAATGTCTATGTGGTTTTTGGAGACCAGGTATTCCAACAATCTATTGGAATTCCCATGGGTACAAATTGCGCTCCGTTATTAGCAGACTTATTTTTATATTCATATGAAGCAGAATTTATGCAAAATCTTTTACGTGAAAAGAAGAAAACACTTGCTGTGGCCTTCAACTCGACATTTAGATATATCGACGACGTATTATCAATTAATAATGATAATTTCCATTCCTACGTCGACACGATATATCCTGGTGAGCTTGAGATAAAAGATACCACAGAGTCCGACACTTCTGCCTCATACTTGGATATTTACTTGAAAAAGACACCAATGGTAATCTAACAACCAAGCTATATGATAAACGTGATGACTTTAACTTTTCAAGCGCCATTTTCTCCTATGTATTCAGTAATATACCTTCATCACCTGCATACGGAGTATTTATATCTCAGTTGATTCGATACGCAAGAGCATGCTCTACGTATGAACTATTTCTTAAACGAGGTAAATTATTGACAAGCAAGTTGATGAAACAACAATATCAACAGTCTCGTTTAAAGTCATCATTTCTTAAATTCTATGATCGATACAATGACCTCGTCAGCAAATACAATTTATCATTGAATGAAATGCTGACTGACGTTTTTCATACCAATTGTTAGTCCATTATTTATACACTGAATTGACCACGGATTTTTTCCGTTATTTCCTGATTATGACAACGAGCACACGGCGGGTGTGACCGGTCCGCAGGGGATGCTCACTTCTCCATGGCACCTGATCCCACCTCTGATGTTTCGGAGGTCCGTGTTTGCTCTGCTCTTATTTTGTATATTTGTTTAATGGACGTTGAGATTGAATACTGTTCGTTATTTCCATATCCTTCATTCATGTTTTACAGAAGGAACACGGGATGCAGAAGAATAGAATGACTATTTATCGTTTTGTGAAGCGCTATTGTGAGGAGGGTGACGGGGGAAAGCGATACCTGGCCCCACCGCCATAAAACTTTTAGAATTCTCAAAAAAATTTTCAACTCAAGCCTTGAAAATTACTCAGTTAAGAATATTCTTAAATTCGCTGCCATAAACCGTGCGTATGGGTATTCAGTAACCAAGCTAAGCAACTGCTAAGTGTACTGTTATGATGATCAATGGTGCCTCTTTCAAAATTGTGAATGCCATATATCATCTGGCTTAAGTTAAAACATGAATCAAATTAAATAACTGGTAAGTTGTTGCATAATGCTCAGGTGACCTATAAGGCCCGTGGGTCTCTTGTTTTTAACATGCCAAGGGTAGTATTACATTTTGAATACCTAAAATACATGGATATGCCCCTGTAAAGAAGAAAATTATTCTGAAATCCTCTGGTCTGGAACAAGTTTTTGGTGACCCTGCATGCATGCATTAATTCTAGAGTCATTTTTTCTTTTCTTCAGGTTCAGTTACTTGACTATCAAGTGATAATTGGGGCATATCTCCAACAAATGGGACACTGGGACCTTGTGGTAATTAATCTTTACTAAAAGTAGATTAAATATTGATTTCAGATTCAGAATACATGTATGTAACTAGATAATGAGGTGTAAGATGATAATTATTGTGTTTACATGTAAATGCATTATTTGTCATTCATATTTGGATGTGTTTTACAAAACCATAAATAGGTAATAGAACCATCAACAAGAACTATATTCTTCTATAATCCTCTTGGTGAGACTCTTCTGCAGAAGAGGCGCATTCAAGAAAATTTGAGGTATGTTTTATTACACATAGAAAGAAAAAGAAATGAAAATTGACTAAAAATAAAGGAAGGTTTAAGATTTTTTGATTGTTACTAAGCGTATAACTCAATGAATCTTTTAATTAGTTAAATAATATATAAGATGTACTATCAAACACTGGGTGAAAAGTCCAGTTTCCGCAAAACTGAAACTATATGGAAATCTTGCTGAAACTTGGCGTTGAAGTTTCCTGTATGGTTTCCGCAATGCAAGTCCAACACATCTGCTTCATACTTGGATATTTTACTTGAAAAAGACACAAATGGTAATCTAACAACCAAGCTATATGATAAACGTGATGACTTTAACTTTTCTATCGTCAACTTCCCTTACTTATGCAGCAATATACCTTCATCACCTGCATACGGAGTATTTATATCTCAGTTGATTCGATACGCAAGAGCATGCTCTACGTATGAACAATTTCTTAAACGAGGTAAATTATTGACAAGCAAGTTGATGAAACAAGAATATCAACAGTCTCGTTTAAAGTCATCATTTCGTAAATTCTATGGTCGATACAATGACCTTGTCAGCAAATACAATTTATCATTGAATGAAATGCTGACTGACGTTTTTCATACCAATTGTTAGTCCATTATTTATACACTGAATTGACTACGGATTTTTTCCGTTATTTCCTGATTATGACAATGAGCACACGGCGGGTGTGACCGGTCAGCAGGGGATGCTCACTCCTCCATGGCACCTGATCCCACCTCTGATGTTTCGGAGGTCCGTGTTTGCTCTGCTCTTGTTTTGTATATTTGTTTAATGGACGTTGAGATTGAATACTGTTCGTTATTTCCATATCCTTTTATAATAGTTTCTGTAGGGTTTCCGTATGCTGAAACTATTAGGTTTGTTTCCAAATAGTTTCCGCAAAACGGAAACCAATGTAAAATTTAATGAAATGTCAATTTAACGATACTTTTTAGTTTCAGTAGGTTTCAGTTTCCGGAAACTATTGATTTTGATTCCATATGGTTTCCGCATGCTGAAACCGAACTGAAACTTTTTCTTTTCTTTTTTTCAAATGGGTAAAAAAAAATCAATTCAAATGACTTTTTTACTACTGATTTCGATTCCATATGGTTTCCGCATTTTTTTTTTCAAAAGGGTAGAAAAATCAACTCATATTATCTTTACTATTGATTTTGATTCTGTATGGTTTTCGCATGCTGAAACCGAACTGAAACTGTTTTTATTATTATTTTTTTTTCAAAAGAGTAGAAAAAATCAACCCATATCATAATTTTATTCACTTATACATTTTTAAAAATGGTTTTATTTTTAAATACCAGATATCTACTAGTTCATGTTCAGATTTTGAGATGTGCTCTGTGTAAATTAACACATACCGATATTGATATCAATGATAAGCACTTTATACAAGATCCTTGCTTCGTATTAATTTATTTCATATTGTGCTGAAATTAAAAAAATATATATCATTTCTAAACAAAATCGATTCCTCTCACCAGGATTTTCTACATTACCCAACTCGAGACTCCCCCTCGGGAATTAATTATTTTCATAACATACATTATTTTCACAAAATAATACAGTACTTCCTGATGAGAACAAATCAAAGGTTATATATGGAGGTTCGAATTCCCCTGTCTACAATTACATTTAATGTTAATTTGTTTAAAAAAGAAAATTAGTGTGTCTTCTTCGTGCATGAAATACAGATAATTACGAGAGCGAACGTTTGCATTTTCTGAGATAGCAAGTTTTGCATTTATATTCCTTATACATGTATCTATATTCCTGAATGGGAAATTATCATTTCAATAATACAATTTGTTAACAACACATACTTACTAGGAAGCCTTTTTTACTATTCAGTGTTCAACATAGATATATAGTGCAATAGTTACTACATTGTATTATTTGTTTTTATAATTTAATACATTGATTTAATATCTCGTACATATAATTATGTATTTTTATCTCCGTTCTCATGAATACATTTTATTCGTTTAACACGAGTTAATCTTATTCGAAAGCCGCGGGTAAATATTGCAAGAAAACATGTCCTGAACATTTGATGCCATGGTTCTTAAGATCTGCAGCATATTATGTCAATCTAATTAAAATTAAATCGTCTCATTTGTTACCCAAATGCTTATTCGCACGAGGAAGACTTAATATTAATGTAAAAAGTCTGTTTTGTGAAACAATACCTTGGGAGCGAATGGAAGATCTCATTTTAATTAGATTGCAAATTATGTGTAGGCTTTTTTATTTATTTATTTTTTTTTTCAAATATCTTGCTTTCGTGATGTTAATTAATGCAATATTACTGAAAATGCGGTACCTATACTTTTAAGTAATATGTTCAATTGTATTCGTATTGAGATGTATATAATGTGCTAAATTTGTGATTTAGAAAACACTTTTTTTAAAAATAAAAGTAGTATGTAAGTTGATCAAATTTTCAATCCTTTTCTTTGAACCCCACTCGCGGGCACCTGTCCTCACGTGCCACAGGTGGGGAGACACGTGTCGCGAAGACACCTGCTTCCGTGTTGGTGTATTTTTTGTATATTCTATGTGGATTGAGAGGTTTTTCTACCTTAGAGGAACAATGGGCTGTGACCAGGCGTAATATATACATGCAGTACATGGCATACACAGTATAGTCACTAGTAATGACCCCAAGGTGTCTGAACATTCAAATTTTAAAAATTAAAAAAAAATCTTACACACACTATATATATAAAACTTCACCTAAATCAAACAAATAAGATTGTTTTATAAAATATTTTATATAAAATGTTTCATATAAGCTATTAAGTTTATCACGTGTTGGTGATTAAAAGAAAAAAAAAAGAAAAACCTCTCAGATATTTATCTATAGATCAATCTAATAAATAAAAGAACTAATCTAATAGTAATCTATAGACTATTTAAAAAAATTCAATTTTATTTTACAATTTCTCCACATAGAAATCGGCAATCACAAAAAAAACGACAGTTAATGGTATTCCTTGTTTGCCGCCATTGTATTAACTTCAAATATTGAAAATATATAGAGATCGATGACACACAACCTAATGAAAACAAAGTCTATGAATTTTATTTCATAACTTTTATTCTCTAGGTTATTTCTAAGTACACAATAAAACAACGTTTTATTTCTAATTTAGAGTCCAAAACAGAAAAGTGTGAAGTTATTACAATAATAAGAAAAAGATTAAGAAAAAAAAAAGATAAATAGATTTAGTAACCAACAATATACATGACATGTGTAAAGGACTATGACCACTATTACATGATATCATTTATAAATTTGCCTGCAAAATTAAGAGTTTCTGTATCTTCTGTATTGAGTAATATCCAATAATTTTTTGTTCATCGTCTAATGCTGAGAAGTAGCGGTATTTACTATTTTAAAATTTTACATGTAGATATTTTCTGAGATGGAAATTTTTAACAATTGATTAATAATTCTTATAACTCCAATTTTGCTTTTGAGTTTCACAAAGGTATAAAAAGCAATACCAGAGAGAGACAGAGACAGAGATTCATACAACACATTCTAATATAGTTTGTAATATTTTTCTTCGTTTTATTTAAGTTACGAAGGTCAAAATTAATCATTATATAATTCACTGTATAACAATGATTATAAACTTACATGTTAATTTATCTATTCTATTTTAGGACACAAATAAAAATGTATCCCGTAGATTCAGATTTAAAAAAAAACATATAAATATAAATTTGCAGACTTGTTATAAAGTTTTAACCAGCTAATTCGTATCGCTTACTAGAAAGGGGGGAGGGTAAAATCGCTCTTGTGTGTGGATATGCCATCAGCATAACTTTGTTGACTTGTATACCTTTTTTTTTTACACAATAATCTAAGTACATGTGTATTTGATTTTCAATCTATTTGTAAAAATCTGGACAGTCCGTTTCAACAATTACCATAATCATGATAACCATGATAATAAGGGACTGCAATACGGTTTTATATCTAACTTCGATTCCATGATTAATTTTATCTAAGCATTTAAAACTGACAGGTTCATTCAGTTGTCATAAATGCAAGGACGTCTGCAATATAAAACGTGAAAAAAAAATATTGCCAAAAGAGAAATGCAAAAACCAGAGACATATAAAACCATGTTTTATTTGTCTCTGCAAAAACTAAGGGGAATTTTCCGTAGAGACTGACATTCAATCACTAGGTGGCGTATCGCGATAGAATGCTTCTCTCTCATTGGTTAGATTTTTAGTAGAAGAAAGAGGGACAAAATGGCGAAGAAAACACCAAGAACTTGCTCAAGAAAAACAACAGAGATGAGAAGGTCTTTTGACTCTACACAGAAGAAAGACACCTCAAACGACAGAATAGATACAGGTAGTTATTTCTTACAGTTCAGAGCACCTTTATTTTTTTTTTGTCTGCAATCGTAAGAATAAAGTTGGGTCAAAACGGCGCGTTCCAAAAATTCAAATCGACCATTGTACAGTTTTAATTATTTTGAAAAAGCGCCTTGTAAATCATTCTCAGCTTAGGTTGTAATACGTATAATTAATTGCTGTGAAAACGGCCGCATGCATTTTGTACCATTGTATTTATCTTGCATGTTTTCGTATGATTATTAGAATGTGTTTTTCTGCATCGTCCCGATCATGTTAAAAAAAAAATACGTGTTGTAGTATTCCGGAATTTTAAATGTAGGTTGGTTTTAGAGGATAATATCGTTATGAACTTGTATCCGGTGTTTACTTTTTCTGAAAATCGAAAGATTTGCCCCCACGCTTATGTTCTTTCAGAAAAGGTGAAGTTTGTTGTTCATTATAACTGTTGAGTTGAGGGTGCGTCGATTTACCCAAATGGAAATCAAATGGACCCTAATGGAAATCAAATGGACCCAAATGGAAATTAAAATGGAAATTAAAATATAATATTTTTCATATTAAACGTTATCTTGGTTATATAAAGTGAAAAAAA